TTGAATTATAAACATGATTAAGGGCTGAAAGAAACTTCAGTGACAACTTACTACAAAAACCGCGAATAGTTCTGTTTGACCGTGGGGTTTGACAGTCTGCACGTGCGTGGGAGTAGGTGGTGGCAAAGGAACAAACAAATAAGAAAAGATAAAAGTCCTACGCATGTATATCGGCATCCCAGCAAAGACATATTTCACAGCATAATCGGGATTTTGATGCTTTGATCAGTCGTCGAGGCGCCAGAAAACGATGTGTGCAAAAGTCTTTTCCCTATCTGTGGTCAGATAGACAGAGAGAGAGACATACAGAGAGAGAGAGAGAGAGAGAGAGAGAGAGAGAGAGAGGGAGAGGTGGTTAAGAGGGAGGGAGAGGTAGATATAGAGCTGAGAAAGGATGATAAAACTTACTATAATATGTTTTGAATTCTTAATAGGCATACATATTTTTTTCACAGAGATAGATAGATAGAGAGAGAGAGAGAGAGAGAGAGATTGTGAAAAAGAGAGATGAAAATATAGTTATCATTATGAATATTTTACCTCTTATCAATAACCGAACGCATAATTCGTATGTAGCCTATACATGCAATACGGATTCATGTACGATTAGGTCGCTTGATGAATTGTGTCCCTTTGGTTTATTAATTTATCATAAACCACAGATCGAGTTTCATTGTAAACATATTTTGTAAATATTTCCATCCATAAAATGCGTTATTCTACTACGAATGTGATATTTATACCCCTTGCAGTATTTTTCTATGCATCCATGCCAGAGTCTTTGACAGAGCAACTACACGCCTGTTGGTTTTGCATTGTGACGTATAGGACACTGGCGGATACCTATATGAAAGCTTGGCGGGTTGTGTGTGTATAATTATAGAAAGCTTCTTTTCGGTCGGATGACCGTACGTTCAGTGGCTCGATGCGAGGGTGAGCCCGCGAAAGGTTCGGTTCGGTGAGTTGCACTACCTCCAGGCTTGGAAGGGCCCAACGGGCAGAAGGATTGGTAACATTTTGAATACCAAGTATGGCAAATCTCTCTCTCTCTCTGTGATTCACGTCCCCCCCTCTACCCCCTCTCCCCCTCCCATCACCTCTCAGTCTTTTCTGTTTCTTTTCTTCTTTATGTTCTTAATTATATTTCATATTTCTTTCTTTCTCGGTCACTCCTTGTCTCATCCTCTCTCTTTATGTATATTTCTTCTTTCTTTAGCTTCTTTCGATCCCTGTTCCTCTTCATATTTACTATCCTTTGCCCTCTCTCAATCTCCCTTACGTTCACCCATTTTTCATTTTCAATTTCCTCTCCCCCCCCATCTCTCTCTCTCTCTCTCTCTCTCTCCTATATTGTCTATCTCTTTCGCTTCCTTTCCCTTCTCTTCATATTTGTTCTTGCCTCTCTCGTCCGTTTCTATATCTTTCTCTGCAAGATATATGTCCGTATTATATTCGAATATCTCTCCCTGTCCCTTCCTGTCAGTCTCTATATCTCCTGCATGTATTTCCTCCTTCTCTCTCTCTCTCTCTCTCTCTCTCTCTCTCTATCTCTATTTATCTATCTCCCTTTCTTTCTCCCGTGTAATGTTGATTTTCTATCTCTTTCTCTTTCTGTTCGCAGACGTTGAACTTTACAGCAATACAATAACACAACAACATGCATGGAACTCTTTTAAAGGGATGAAACACAAATTTTTGTTCTGCTTTGATAACTCTGTTGATTGCCGTGATAAATGGATGCACACAGCTGGACACTGACTTTTTAAAGGCAATACCGTGTGAATAATAGATATTGAATTTCGAGATAGTAATATTCGTGGTAACAGACTATTCATGAGTACGAGAGGATGGTGGGTGGGGCCATGCAGGTGCCGCAGCCCAAAGAGTGTTGAAACTAGGAATATTTGGGGCAACAGTCGCTTCATATTTGGGGAGCGAGACAGGCTTTTTTTGTACATTATTCCATGCCTTATCTACATTCTTGAATAGCAACTTGTCAGCATACAGAAAATTATGTCTCGCACTACAAGTGGATAAGCCCCTAAAAATGTGTTTCTCTTATCATTTGCTTTGCTTTGCTCCCTCACAAAATTTGAAACGCTGGAACTTGATGCTCGGTTAAATAAGCCAATATCGTCAAAAAAATATATACTTGTATTTACTTGGCAGCTTTTGCAATACATGATACTTACATAAAGTGAGTGACAATTACATGTGACTGCACTTTGTATCCCAATTTTGTATGGCAAAATGCATTCACTAATCACAATGTACGTGCTTTTGTATCAATGCTCGAATTAAATTATTATTTATATTCGTAAACATGGCGAACATACGAAATTGTTTCATTATTCTTTTTTTGTAATTCTCCCTAACATTTACTGTAAATAAGCTTTCATATTGATACTCTAATTTTAATGTTCTCTAGAATTTTCAATACATTCGATTGCAAAATAGACAGGTTTGATTTGACAAAAATAACAGATACCTTTAAAATAATATTATAGAAGAAAGGCATTGTTATTATCATGCCTAACGCACAAACTGTATACGGAAGCTATTCTCTGTAGAATCAGGATATGCAGTACAATTTACCAAATACGGTTTTCATGGAATGCAACTCATTTCTGAAATATGAGTCTGCTTATTCTCGTACAAAAAAAGAAAAAAAGTTAATGTGTATATTTTCATTGGGTCTAATATCGGACCAAAATAGAGTAATTGAAGTAGTCGTCACATTGTAATGATCATTTGCTACGACGAATCCTTTACTCAACGACGAAACAGATGAGCCTCTGCATTTATAAATACTGTATGTCTCGTGTAGTTTGCCTTCTAAAAAGAAACATTATTTGTATGTAAAGCGAATTTATAATCACACTATACCGAAACTTATAGTATATATATATAATTATATGTATACACCGTCTTCTCTATTCTCCTCTTTACCCTTTCTCTCTCTCTCTCTCTCTCTCTCTCTCTCTCTCTCGTCTCTTTCTCTCTCTCTCTCTCTCTCTCTCTCTCCCTTTCTCTCTCTTTCTCTCTCTGTCTATCTCTCTCCCTCTCCCATTATGTTTCAATGCTCTCTTTCATTTCCTTCACATCCCACGCACGTCTTCCCCTAACCTCTGTGTCTCCTTTATAACCGAGCAGAGATATTCACTTTATTCATCCATGCGTCTTCATCATCTTTCATTTTCATCTCTTCGGGTCTAAACCCCAACCCCAACATGACTAGACAATAAATGTTGATATCATGCTTTTGTCTCTCCGTTGTTTCTAAATTTCTGAATGGGATAATGTACCCCTCCCCCTTCTCCATTTAGATTTCCTTTTTTATTCGGAAATTCTAAAACCAGACTCAAGCATGTTTACGCATCAAGCGCGGCCTGCACCCTCCAAACGAATTTCCAATAATTATAGGTCTATTTCCCCCTCTCTGTCTCTCTGACTCTATCCCTCTATCTCTACCTCTCCCATATTACTATACCTTTCAGCTTTCTCGTCTGCTCTCTACGGATGCCTGTGATGTGACTCTCTCTCTTTCTCTTTCTCTGTAGCCCTCTCTACCAGCATCTCCCTATCTCGTCCCCTCCAATAACTCTCTCTCTCCCTTTCTCTCTTCCCCTCACGCTTCCTATTTCATTGAGAATCTCGATGGCGCCAGTTAAAATTGCTTGATAAGTGGTATATTGCACTGTGTGGCGTACACGGGCTTGACCCCGCTTCCACCAATCCGAAAGAAGCGCGCACACTGCCTGCATTAACAATACCCCCTCACTCTCACACACACAATGAACGCGCACGGAAACCAACAAAAACCCTCAGTCATTCCCACGAATTATATATTCAACGTTTTTGAGGGAGGAACTCAAGATATTTTAGTCTAACGAGTTTCTTTCAGTTAATGTTGTAAATTGAGAGATAGATGGCAAGGAGCACTGTCTTTGTTTTCAATTAAGGTTTTTTTTTATTACCTACACACGGAGCGCTTTCTCATTCTTGGCGTTAAATAATCATGCGTTTTCTACCGGCTGCCTGATTAGGGATGTTAAACTGTCACGTTCGTTCTGCATCCTTTATACAATCCTCTTCCATATATGTAACCTTATCTCAAATTATTCATTTCTGTAATCCATTAAGAAAGTAAAAAACACTTGCAAGCCACGAAACTTTGCACAAAAGAAGTTACTTTTGACAAAAACATCTTTGTATTTTTTTTCATTTGTTATACTTTTGAAGGTGCTTTGTCTCTGTTTGTACACGTCTGACAAGCTTATTTTTCAATTATCACTATATGGAGAGATCGCGTGATGCTAAAAGTCTTTGTATATCTTATTTTAGTTCTTCAAATTACGTCTTGAATACCAATGGAATCCTTATGAAAAGCGCTAGATCAGATGGATATTGTTCATTTAAAAACTCCTCTTCCAGTCAAATCTGTGTGCGTATGTTTTTACACGCTGTGCTTAATTTCACACCCATTTTTGCTTTTTTTTTCAATTTTCAAATCACCAATGTGCAATAAATTATTACGATCAAGTACAAATAACTTAAAATGATTACTAACGTTTGATATGAATTCAAATTTTCTTTCAGCTATGATCTTATTTCTCAAGGGGTTTAACATTGATTTGAAGAAAAACAAATGTTGGATGTTAATTTAGATCTGGTGCATACATAGATTTGCAAAATGATTAAAATCAATATATGAGTAATATAATCAGCAAAGTAGGTATTCATGAATGTGATCTTTCTCACAGCGAGATAAAGGTAGATTCTTAGTGTATTAAGATGGATGCTATTTGCATGATATAACTAGCCTACAATCTAGGACTGTATTAATACGTTTCTTTGGACAAGAAAGCGATCGTGGACAGCTGTAGTTTGTTTTTCTCAACATAAACATAATTCATAATTATTTCTATTTTATTAAAAATATGCACAATATAAACTTTCAAACGAACAAAGAATAAAGGAAAAATGAGTAGACATAAAAATAGGGTTACCCTTCAAGTTCATATGGACGTGTTTATTTGCTTGGTCTTTGGTAAATACTTCTATAGATTCGGTGACAAAATGAAAAGCCATTCGACTGGTCTGTGACGGACACCTATTGTGTAGTACTACTAAGGTCATCACCATTGCCTTTAGGCAGATTAGTCGGTTCTATCAGAATATTTGTGGGATTATCTGTCTCAAAAATCACAAAAACGACCCTTTTCAAAAAACACGATACAGTTAAACAAGGAACTACTATTTACACACATCTATATATATTTTTTTCAAACAGGGAAACATTTAAGAAATGATAATGGCACATCGTGTACTTTCGTTTTCTTGTTAACAGTTATTCTGTTTAAATCAATGCAATGTTGTGTAAAGAACTACCCTTAGCAAATCGTTCTTTTCTTAACCATACCACAACAAAATGTTCCTGTTGTCGTAATATTTGTGTACATCCATTTCATTACAATATGCGTGCAGCAATTTCATATCATTCGTCAAAAAATGCGTCTATAAACGCTTGAAAAACTGGCAAATTTAAATTAATTTTGTTATTTATACATACAGATATAAATCTAATTGTGACAAGTTTGGCAATTCGTCTAAATATCTGGTGAACTTCAATGAAAAAACAAAAAAACAATAGAGATTTAAGAATGAGGTATATTCAGTTTCCATGACATCATTGAGAAAATACACACTATTAATAATTACTGATTTTGTTAAAAGTCACATTCAAGGATATTAAAATACAACATCATCACATCCTTGACACACTCATAGAGAAAAATAGTTTTAAAAAGAATCAATTATCCACAGTGGCTAGTGAATATAATTGACCCATGGGTTAAAATATTTCGTATTATATCACCTCCTTTCCATTTTCCTTCAAAAGAACAATTGCGAGTAGAATATTGACAATTCAATACATTAAACAAATTCAATTAATTGATTAAATCATTATGTCTCTGTCATTTGTATTTCCTGCATATTTATTCCCAAAACTCATTGATTCTCCACTCGATTGAATAAAAACCACCTGACGTGCATCCAAATGCAGATACATATTGAAGAAAATATTGACCTGCAACCTAAGCGTATTACCATTGTTATAGGTAAAAATACACATTACTTCCAAAAGGATAAACTGCTATAAGAGAAAGTATTGGATATAGCACGGTATTGCAAATATCTATATCAAATGAATACTTGAAAACAACATAATCTATTCATTTATTTCATATTACGTCATATAGGAGAGTAGATTCGAGATTTGTTTTAAATACCGGACTGATCCAAGCATGAAGTTAAGACTTCAAATTCACTTAAGGTCATATTCGTTGAGGAAATATAAACATTGTATTACATGGAGAAGAAATAAATCGAACAAATGCTCGATAAAATAAAAGTTATCTATTCGCATTTTTATTCAAATAACGGTTTCTTTCACGACATGAAAGTTTATTCTTAGAATGAGTTAATTGCTTTATAACCCTTAAACAGGGTGATGAAAGGAGGAAGAACAAAATACTCAGACGTAACCGACACAAACTCTTCCTTCAATATATTTACCCCCCCCCCCCCCGTATTAACATGTTCTTGAATTGTGCTTATGTTACTCTTTAAACACTATATTATTGTTATCTGAAAGTTGTTTGTAAGATGTGAAAAATAATACTGGGGAAAAAAATGTTCATTTCAAACTGAATTGAACATATAGGTAGATGTTCAGCGTTGACACGAGAAAGAAGCATTCTATAACGATGTGCGTCCAGATAATTCAACACGGAAAGAAGAAAGGCAAAACATCTTTGAACGGCAGAGTTGTACCAAGTGAAAATGCATTATTTCGTTATAATTATCATATTTCTGGACTGGACTTTGTCAATTGTTGTACTTGTGCAAATTTAAGTCCATAAAGCGTGCCTACAACAGAAGAGAAGCCACTAAGGGAGGGATGAGATTGGAAAGGCACATTTAAAAGACGTCGGTTTCTCAAAAGTGCAGAGATAAAGGAAGTGTGTTATTAGGAGACCAGGAAGAAATAGGACATTGGTGATTAAAAAAAGAAAATCATAATGTAGTCTCTTTCATATCATCCGAAAGATGTATTTAGATACGGTCGCTTCTTTAACCGGACATGTCCAAGGCAACAGCTTCGTACAAGTAAATAAAGTAATTAACATAAAAGCATTTTTTTTTAGTGTGTGGAATAATACGAATTTCAAGAAACGTAAGTGAAAAGTAGATACATTAAACGTGACTAACAATGGGATAAATCCAAGATGGCTGGAAATGATTATCATCAACACTTATAAATCAGGCGCAACTCAACGCTTTGTCAAATCCAGTTTCTTTCAAGTGGACACGGCAAAGTCCGCTGTATTCACGTTTCCACTCCTTCAGAGAAACGCACGAATACACCTTGAATTATCCATTGAGAAGATGGCTGAAGATAGGAATAATTAATGCAAGTCTCCCCGCTTTTAATTAAACAGGATCTGTTCTTGCCATTACATGTATTTGTTTCATTCATATGATATGACGATTATTTAATCAGATGATATAAACCCTAAAGCCACTAATTTGCAGTGGTGATGCTTCCAGGACATCTCAAAAATGTTTCTATATCAGCACGATTAAAAATAGTTTGTGCCGCTACTTATGAATAAGCTCACTTGTACACACATATACACACACACGCGCAGAGAGAAAGATAGATTGTCCGATATATTTGTTTCGACGTCGATGCCACATCGGTGCTTTCATCGAAGCTGTGGTTGATGACCAACTGAGGGATGTGACGTGTTAATCGCAACGGGTAACGGGTGGTGATTATGGTGGTGGTGATTGTGTTGATGGTGATGGTGCTGCTGCTGCTGTTGATGCTGTGAGGAACTCGATTGCGACATCGTAGAAGCCGACGATGTCGACGATGTTGATGAGGTGGATGAGGTGGTAGATGAGGTATGCGATGAGCCTTCAGCCGACTTCTTCTTTGTCGATTGGGTCTTTTCTTTGTCGTTCAGTTTTTTCATCTTCATTCGCCTGTTCTGGAACCAGATTTTGACCTGGCGTTCGGTGAGGTCGAGAGCCTGTGAGAGCTTCGAGCGACGATCTCGGGTCAAGTACATGTTAGTTGTGAACTCCTTCTCTAGTTCGTAGATCTGTAACTTGGAGTATGGACGGCGTTTCGTTCTTCGAGGGGTCGTTGTGAAGGTTGCAAGAAGACTACACGATGATGCGCCTCCTGAAGAAAAAAAAGTAGAGAAACAAAAAATATTTGAGTTTCGTTATCTTTGTAGCATTTTAGAGTTAAATATATGACGATGCATTGAATCCGTTCATAAAGAAGTACTTCGAATATGTTTTTTTAATGCAAATTTTCAGAGAGAGAGAGAGGGGTGAAAACACTCTCCTATCTCTCTCTCTCTCTCTCTCTCTCTCTTTGTAGCATTTTAGAGTTAAATATATGACGATGCATTGAATCCGTTCATAAAGAAGTACTTCGAATATGTTTTTTTAATGCAAATTTTCAGAGAGAGAGAGGGGTGAAAACACTCTCCTCTCTCTCTCTCTCTCTCTCTCTCTCTCTACCATCTCTTTCTGAATTATCTGCAGACCCTTACATAGAATTCCCTCAATAGCCTATAATTAACATTTTTTGGTCGTGGTTGTTATTTCTGGCAGTTTCATTTTCTTGGGCTTGAAAAAAACAAACCTGCTCGATTCCCCCACTCCACCCTTCCTTTATCTCTTCTTCAACAGTCTCATTCACTTTGGGTGTCCAAGAGTCAAATCCGATAATTCATTTACGTAATGGATGCACCCGTTAAACAGAGACAAGTTGTTATTTATTCAAAACTATTTACTAACTGCAGTCTGTTGCTCGACAGTCGACACACTACCCGGCGTTTTGTTTTGGGGGCCGCGGTACGCCACGATGTCACGAAGGGCACCGCTTAGAAAATTAGACTTCAAATATTAATTTCTGAATTAATTGCAACCAAAAACGATTCGGGTTTGGTAAAAACATGGCCTCGCCCGTGACTTGATATAGGTCATCGGGTTTAATTATTACAAAAGCATTCAAAAAAAATAAGCGGGGAGTAATACAAGCCTTGTAGATGGCCACTTGCTCTTCATTTACATTTAACATGTTTAATGCCACGTCTGTATGATGTAGTTTAAAGCAACAAGATGTTATACTGGCTATTTCATCATCTAATTAAAATGAGTTTCTTTCTTTTTGAAAACAAGAGGCATGTCTAGCTTTTAGTGTAAATAGTCTATACAGATAAAATATTATCCCGAGGTTTGTGGAAGAAGTTTCTCCTTTGTCTACTATCATCTTACTCTGGTCAATTTAAAAGGGGATTTCCTTCAGTAAAAAAATTAATAAAGAATAATAGATTCGTCAGAACCAACATCCTAAAATATTAATATAAAGGGATTTCTATATTTAAGACCTTAAATATGTTTTCAAGAATGCAACAGTTGCTTTTTGGAATATAATAAACAGATGATTATAGGATACAAAATAAAATGTTGAAATAACAATTTACATAAGCATAAGAAATAACAAATTTAATGTGTACTTGTTCATATTAATTGTTGTAAAGCATTTTCGTCGGAGTTCCCTCTCACTTTGGTTGTGTTTCATTGAATTGTCGAATATGTCCAAACAAACTTCTTAAATGTTATGTTTGCATAAATAAGATATGAACAGATAATCATTTTCAATACAGTATATTCCTTATTTTCATAGTCAAAGTAGATCATAATAACTTTATTTCCAATTTTATTTTATTTTCAATGTATTTGTCTACTAAGTTATGCTCATTCATAATGAGGTGCTGTTCTTTCTCTACAATATCTTAATTTTTTGAAGTAACCTAAATGTACTACATTTAAACAAAAGGCCTTTTTTGGGAGGTGCTGGAGATTCTTCGTAAAAACGGGCCTTTTCAAGGAGCCTAGCTTTTGTCGTTATCTATTGTTGTTTCTGCTGTTTCGCTTCACTCTATTAAATTTGAAATGGAATTCTATCACTAAGGTTTAATATTTTCATTTTGTTATGATTTTGTAATATTTTAATGATTGTCCGTTTTTGTCAAGGTGCAAATAGATTATTTCGATTTCAGTTTATTGTCATATAATTCCATATATGTAGTTCTTTATTTCTATGCTACAGGGGTATGCAACTATATTTAGCACGATCGCATCTTTTCCAATTATCGACTTATGGGCAATTTCAATACTCTATTGTATGTCCAATAGAAATCAAGTTCGAATTACGTAATATGTCATTGTCATGATCGCTCATTTCAATAAATGACACACATGACTATTGAAAGTGTCTTAAAGGTTGATTTCTGTCTTCAAAAGGAGTAGCTATCATGTTAATTATATAGCCATCAACATGTGAATAAGCTGAGGAAGCGAGACATAGACAAGCCTTAATAAAACTAGATATATTGTATGAATAAAGTACTACGTACTTTCAGGATAAGCAATTCATGATGTCATTCACTCTGTAACAAGTTCAACATGTCTGGGATTAAAAAACTGACTTTTTCACCAAGTTTAGTTTATGCATGAAATACCCCCATACTTCCAATAAAGATAATGAAGAAATCTAAAGGGAAAGATACCATCTGAATCATGAATTGCGATGCTTGTCTACCGGCATTTCAGTGCAAAGAAACACGGCTGCTTTCAAAATGAAATACAGGTTTACAAGCCGCAGAGCTCTAAATACCCCAAATTTTATGCTTTGACATTGTCTGGCGATGATTAATTACACTGTTTTTACAAGAAAATAGCCCAATATAAAGAGGTGTCTTTATATCATTTGGCTGTTTATGAATGCACACCATCATCTATATTTAAGAGTTTACATACACTGAAAAGAAGTGACAAGCAACAAATATGCCCTTTTCTATAACTCTTTGAGGGTAGGGTATCCGAGTCTTTGTCGCGAGCCAGCCACTGGCGTTCAAGCACGCCGCCTGGCCCGGGGCGATACACGAGGGTCCCCCGCTCGCTACACAAGCAGGAGGGTGCGTTATTTGACATCTCTTCGTTTCCACCCTACAATGAATGGTACACGATCGTTGGGCTATGGATATCATAGAAAAGTCTAAAAACATCAAGCTTTGTGATGTAGGTATTGAGATGTACCTCAATACCAACACAATACCATGGCACCGTCTGGTCTCTCCAAAACTCTATAGTTGATTTTTTAAAAAAAATCTGCCAGGTTCAATGACATGTCGGTTCTTGATACCAACTTTTATCAGATTCACCTCGTGAATAGGTAACAACCATATTTCAAATATTGATAATGGTATCAATGCGAAGTTGCACAAAAAGGGGTAGTTAATTCGGCGCAGCTATTGGCCATGGGATCGGGAAGGGTTGCATGTTGATAACCGCTGGGAAAGGGGGCTTCTCTGAGCACGTTTAGCAGACTCGTTGTCAAAAAAATATATATATATATATATATATATGGAGGGAAATGAGACAGAAAAAGATCACCAGACAAGACTCCAGACAATAATAGTCATCAAGGTGCTGTCGATAGAATCAATTTTTTAATCTTATCTTCTGATCTATATTTGAACTATTTTCTAGCTTGTGTATGGAGGAGAAGGACATCCATAAGATATCACCGAACCAATTGTGATTTAAAATCGATTTCTTAATAACAGGAAAGTTTGAACCGCTCCATTTTGAAAAAAACATAACAATTAAATAACAATAGAAATAACGATAATAATAATAACAATAATAATAATGATAATGATAATAATAATAAAAAATAATAGTAATAACAATACGAAGGAGATGGATAAGAAGAAGAAGGAGAAGAAGAAGAACTTGATAGAAGTGAAAGAAGAAAGTGAAAGAGTATATAGAGGAAAGCAATGGATAACGCTCATACATCAAGTGTGTACATTATAGTCCAACATTAAGTTGGACAACGCTGTATAAAGAAAACTTCACACTACTCGTTTGATAACAAACCATATGTATGAATTATATCGCGTTTTCCCCTTTTTTGTTCTTCCTTTCTTTTTTGTTCTTCTACGAATGACCATCAAATGAAACAAAATTGTGTCCGGAGGACCACGGTTAGACGATAAAGAAGCAAAGTGACAGACACATCCAGTTAGAGAAATAATAGCTACAAAATTGTGATTTTCCATTCATTAAGCTCATCAAAATGGCCTCGAAATAACAATAAGCCTAGCTAGAAAGCACAATAACAGCAGTTCAACCCCTATCAATGAAATGTTGGATTATCTATATATACCCATCCCCCTCTGAGAATTAGACATCACTTGTGGGTGATCTCGCCTTAGGTTTCTCAAAACTCCAGGTCAACTTGTTTTTGAAAGACATGTGATTAAATGATTAGCATAAATTTGCACGAAAAAGCATATAACGTAGGTTAATATCATTTTGGAATGTTCCCCTTTCTGTCTTCGTCTCATTGCAGTATGCGTATCATTTTCAACTGCCTGAAGTAATGCTATTTGAGATGTGCTTTGAAGCTTATTATAATGTCGAAACAATAACATTGTAAAATAATAAGTCTTTAATGGTTATCATTGTTCTGAAATAGATGATATTGTAAATTTACAAGAGAAATTTAGGTATTCCCGGTTTTCATTATGTCTTCCTCAACACACCAATATGTTAAAGTAATACAACTTTAACAAAATATATCATGACTACTACAGTAATTTGGAGACCTATCAAAACATAAAGTCAACCTGCAATGACGAGCTATTGACGACTACATTAAAAATAATATGAAATATTGTAATGTATTTAAAAAAACACTTCTTTAGATTTCTTTTTCATCTCTTGGGTTATCATAGACAGTGGCGTGGCCAATCCCTAAATCTTGTTTACAACAATCTCTACAATTCCTTGTCACCATACCTCGCCGTGTTGTTGATGGAAATTATGATAAGTACTGGAAAATGGGAAGAAAGGAAATAAGAGGGATAGAGGGGGTAAATAAAAGAAAGCGAAGGAAAAGGGCGAAAATTACTAAAGCAAATGACGAGAAGTAATTACAATTTCCAATTGGCCCGGCCATTGAAAACCATTGACGCGTTGTACCGACCCAAGAGTTAATCTCACGATAATCTCTACAACTGGTCTTTGTTCACTCGGCTGACCATTCAGATCAACAAAAGAAGGCACTGGCCGAATTCGAACATAATACCAACCGCC